AATTCTGATGCAGTGAAACGATATTATGTATAACCACTTATGATTCCCTTTATGATGTAATTTGAACTACGCCTGACCTGATTCCCATTTAAGAGGGGATACGTAGGCAGCCCTATGGGTTCGGTCACAATTTAATAAAAATTCCATTTTCTCCCGCTATTGGAACTGGGGCAAAATTTTGAGGAGGACCCTCAAAATTCCGAAGTTGATTTTAGTCCATGCATCGCCAGAAGCGCCAACCCAGTAAACTGGGGCAGAATTTTAAGGAGGGCCCTCAAAATTCCGGAGTGAAAGAGGTTGCAATGTCTTGAACCACATCCCAGTCGTTGGTTCATCTAAAGAAAATTATTTTCGATTATATACTTACGTTATATTTTCTAAATCATTCATAATATTATCTGAATTGTTGTTGTTTAGCGACGCTACCCCAATAACACACAACGTCAAGAGCCCGGGGAAGACAAACTAACCTTTTCCCCTTACAGAACTCACGATTTTTCTTTAGATGCAGGCACTCAACTTGCAGTATCGTTAAGTATATTTATGTACGCATACTTTTCCAAGAATGCAACTTCTCAAAATCATCACTTGCCCGCAATTGCTATCCGTACACAATCTCCCCAGCAGTCATATTGTCGTAATCGGCTATCAGCTAAGAGATCTTACTACTAATCGTCCTTTTACATTCTTGCACTGCATAAGACTACTTTTCTGCCTTTCAAGACTAAGACCTGTCTCCATCATCATCTGCATAAGGCTACTTATCTGCCTTTCAAGACTAAGCCCTGTCTCCATCTGTATTTTTGCATTGTATAAGGCTACCTTTCTGCCTTTCGAGACTAAGCTCTGTCTCCATCTGCATTTTGCATAAGGCTACTTTTCTGCCTTCCAAGGTTAATCTCTACCTCTATCTGCATATCTCTGCATTGCATAAGGCTACTATTCTGCCTTCCGAGGTTAAGCGCTACCTCCATCTGCATTTTTGCATTGCATAAGGCTACCTTTATGCCTTCCGAGGTTAAGCTTTACCTCCATCATCATCTGCATAAGGCTACTTTTTTGCCTTTCGAGACTAAGCCCTGTCTCCATCATCATCTGCATAAGGCTACTTATCTGCCTTTCGAGACTGAGCTCTGTCTCCATCTGCATTTTGCATAAGGCTACTTTTCTACCTTCCGAGCTTAAGCTCTACCTCCATCATCATCTGCATAAGGCTACTCTTCTGCCTTTCAAGACTAAGCTTTGTCTCCATTTGCATTTTGCATAAGGATACTTTTCTGCCTTCCGAGACTAAGCATTGTCTCCATCTTGCATTTCCTTGCATTGCATAAGGCTACTTATCTGTCTTTCGAGACTAAGCATTGTCTCCATCTTGCATTTCCTTGCATTGCATAAGGCTACTTATCTGTCTTTCGAGACTAAGCATTGTCTTCATCTGCATAAGGCTACTCTATCTACCTTTCGAGACTAAGCATTGTCTCCATCCTACATGGCTGAAATATCGCCTCTTTACCTTTCTCGCACGGCTACAGCATCGCCACATTCATTTAAATTCTGTACCGGCTGAAAGATTGCCACCTTTTGCATTTCATGGGCTGAAAGATCGCCAACCTATTAAAAGGCATCATAGTTCGAAGGCACCATCTACATGGCCCGAGAACATCATTTCATGGCCTGCAAATTTTTATTTACGCTCTTCATAGCCCGGGACGTCATGATCCAAGGACGTCATCCTAACCATCCAAAGATAGCATTTATGGTCCAATGGGAACTTGTATCACGTTTAAATTTATGCACGATATATGCTTGTATTGCTTAATTGCAGGTACACCGGCTGGCAATGTCCGTCTCAGCAGGAGCGATCCCGCTCCGGTTCCCACCGCCAATCGATTTTTCAGAAAAACCACTCTCAATCTAAACATCGCGTCCGTCTGTTTCAGATCTCCATCGGCATATTCCGTCAATGGTTCCTGAACTACATACGGCCTGATTCCTGTAAAACCAGGGATATGTAGGCAGCTCAGAAACCAGAGCCCAGTCAAAGTCCCTTTCAAATCGCCACTTTCGATCAAAATTGGTCATCATATCTTTACCCGACAACTCTTTCATCCTTCCCGGGTTAAGAGGGGCAGCTGTTGATACCCAATTTTTCCCTATGTATTTTTATACTCAAAATAATTTCAAAATATCATATACATAAATATATAAGTATGCCCAAGTGTTTTAGTATTTTTCCAATTTGTTTTTAAGATATTTAAATTGATTTATTGCTCATTTTAGCAGTACAAAAACCAATAATTGTTCCTCAAATTATCATTTTGGTGAATAACTTATTTTATTCTCATATTTATACCAAAATATAGCTAAGGTAATTTTTATGCATTTTTACAAATTTATTTAGTATTATTAAAGCTAAATTGCGTATAATTGTAATTTTAGTCTATCTTAAGATTTAATTACGTTTATAATTACAAAATTGAAACTAGTATTTTTAATTTAATATTTACATTATTAATTAGTTTAGTGCTCTTAATTTATTTTCAGAAATTATTTTACTATTTTTTATAAAATAAAAGGAAGAAAATGGCTATTTAAATACTAGCCCTATTTTATTTCAGTTTTAGCCTAAAATCAGCCCCAATTAACCCCAATTTCAAATTCAAATGGGCCATCCCAATTCCTAAAATAACCCGTCCCTAATCCGCTTATCCAACCCGCCCGGTTTCCCCTTTTGATCCAGGTCGTTGATCATTTTGATCAACGGTAAAAATTTCCCCTTTCCTTTTTAATTCCCAAACACCCCCAACCCTATCCCATTTCTCACCAACCGCCGCCTCTGAATCCTCTCATCTCTCAAACTCTCTCGAACCTTCTCCTAACCCTAGTAGCCTCCCATCATCCTCACCTCAAAACCCACCGGAATCCATGGCTTCTCAGGCCATGGAACCCTTATACTCACCTCCATTTGCTCTTATACACTTGGTCCTTGAAGATTTGAGGTCTGACCTCGAAATTTTTCGTCCAAATCTCCGCCGATTCAAGGTTCTACGGCCATCTCTGACCTTGCTCCGGTGGCGCCTGGTCTTCTGAGCCTGATTCTGATTTTCTCCGACTCCGATCGGACCTTTTCAAAGCCTTTCTCATTCTAGGGTTCTTCCGAAACCCTAACTATTCGAGGTTTTCTCCGATTTTTCTTAGATCTGTTGTGTATCCATGCTTTACTAGTGTTTTCAAATGATTTCCCCAACTTTTCTTTCAAAAATTACTTTCAAAATCACTTCTTTTCGATTTAGGGTTTTCTGAAAATGCTTAAAATGTTTCTCTGACTTTTCTTTTCCTTTTCTTTGTGTGTAGTTGCCCTCTACTATGTTCTTAGGTTTTCTTTTTACTACGCATGTTCTTCTACTGTGTTCTTAGGTTTCCCTTTTATCACTGATAATAGGTGAATTTAACTATAATTAGGCCCTAAATAACCACCTTCTTGTATAGCTTGGATGATAAAAGTGATAACAAAATGCTCTTATTAGTGTTTTTCATGCTTTGCAGGTTATATATGACCAGAGAAGGCTATGGAGTACTTTTAGGATCAAATATGGAGAATAAGAGGCCGATCGTAAAATTTCGTCAAGTAAACCACGCGAAACAGCTCAAGTCAGAACTGAAAGAGGACTATCACGGTACCATCGCGACCGCGGCAGAACCGCGGTAGAAGATGGCTGCAGACAAAGTGAGAATCAGAGAGCATGTTTGGCCGCGGTTTGACCGCGACCGCAGCGGAGGCGGAGAACTTCAGGGACTAAGGTGCAAAACACGGGATTTTTAGCCCAAAACCCTATTTTAAACATTAGACTTCGCCCAAGAGAGGTATGTATTGATTTGGAGAGTATTTTGGCAAAAAAAAATAATTGTGAGAGATCACCCAAAATATCTTTCTTCTTTTCTTTGATTTTTCTTGCAAGTTTTATGATGAATATTATTTTAGTTTGTTTACCCATAGTTATGAGTAGCTAAATCCTTTGTCTAAGGTTTTGATGGAACCTATTGGGGGATGAACTTCTTGTTTATGTGAATACAAATTGCTAGTCTGAATCTTTATTTGTTCAACTTTGTGCATGTGGTAGTTAATTGACATGATCCTCAATTAGCTGTGCCTATTTAGTGTGCATAACTTGGGAGAGAGTGCATATTTAGGTTATTGTTGAATAACACCACTCCTAAAGTATAAGAGAGATCTATAACTGCGGGTTTAAAGGCGGGATTTGGGATAACGAAGCCTTGAGTGCAATCTAAAGTGAACCGTGTTAATTAGAGCTAGCTAGTGTATCTCGAGAGAGTGCATTGAGTATATTACTGTGATTACTCGGGAGAGATTTAAGGTAAGATGAGCGTTCATGATTGATAGAGAGGTGTTGGTCAATTTGTATGAAGCATAAATAGAATGGATTCCATCAATAGGGGAAGTCATTACCTTAGTGTTTTCTTATTATTGTTTACAACCTTAGCATCCTTAGTTTACAACTGTTTATTTACTTGCAATTTTAATTATTGAAGACACCATCAACTGTGATTCAAACGTTTGGGGAAATTGGTTCTCAAGAGTTTAGTGGGTCTAAAAATAGTGATTGATAGGTTAACTCTTTGTGGATTCGACTCTGGGCAGAATACTCAGGTTATATTTGCAACGTCCGCACGGTCCTTTTTATAAGGCATAGTTGGGTGTGATCAAATTTTGGCGCCGTTGCCGGGGAGTTAACGGAATTATCAATTACCATTGATAGAAATACAAAAATTCATAGTGTAGTCAGTTTTCTCTACACCAAATTTTTGATTGAAATTTTTTACAGTTGTTGACGTGGTTGCACAAGTGTATGCCTAGAAACTCTACGAGGACTGGAGAACTACTTGAAGGACTCTCAGACCCCGAGAAAACATTCTGGATATTGAACCGTGCCAACAAAAGACTTCAACAACCTCATCAAACACACAAACTCGAAATTGACATGGGTGACGTAGACAACATCAACGAAAACGTCAAAGATATGGCACCTCCTGTGCCTGAGGCTGTACTATATGACTGGGCACAACCCACAGCTGACAATATGGCCACTACCATTGTTGTGCCCACGATACAAGCTGAATCGTTCCAGATCATGAACAACATGCTACACTTGCTGCAAAACAAGGGACTATTTTCTAGGATACCAGCCGAAGATCCTCAGCAACACTTGAAGAACTTCCTGTCGATTTGCAAAACTCAAAGGCAACCCAATGTAACTCTGGAAGCAATTAGGCTGTTATTATTTCCATTCTCGGTGACAGGAGCTGCTCAAGTCTGGCTAAACTCACTCCTCATAAACTCTATAGAAACTTGGGATGAGTTAGTCAAGCAATTTCGCATCAAGTTCCACCCGCCCAACAAAATAGCTCAACAAATTGATGAGATCATGAGCTTTAAACAGAAACCAATGGAGACACTGCATGAGACATGGAGCCGGTTTAAAGGAATGTTGGTTATATGTCCACACCATGGTATTCCAAATCAGATGTTGGGACAACGATTTTACATGGGACTGTCAGATAGCATGAAGAACATTGTAGATGCCTCAGCTGGTGGGGCATTTTTGAGCAAAACTTGGAGAGAAGGTCAGAGTCTGCTTGACAAAATGGCTCAGAATTCGGGGTGGACGACGAGAAATGCACCTATCACTCCAGTGGTGCACTCAGTTCCTTTTGACACATCAAATTCCATGGCTGAAAATCTGGTGACCCTCTTGACACAGATGAGCATACTCACCAAAAAGGTGGAGGAATCAGGGCAAAAACAGCAAGTGCACATTGTAGATACTACCAATGGGGGCTTGTGCACATCTTGCATTAATCAGCCAGTTGGTAATCCTTGGAATGCAGAACATGATCATCATTATCAGCACCCTGGAGACATGAACTATGTGTCAAACTATGGAGGCCAGAGACGGGGCAATCAGAACTGGGGTCAGCAAACTCAGCATCCATATAGACCACCTCAGCCACAGTACAACGCTGGAAGCATGGGAGGTATGAGACCTCCCAACAATATGACACCTTATCCAAGGCCACAGGGGTACAACAATCAGCAGCAAGGGTATCCCTCACCTCAGCAACAGCATGGTGGAAGGCAAGAAGATGGGTTCACTAGACTTGAAGCAATGATGCAACATGTTATTGGGTCCAATGCAAAAATAAATGAAAGAGTAGATGCACAGGACGCAGCAATCAAAAATATTGAAGTGCAATTGGGCCAAATTTCAATGTCTCTGAACAATCGTCCTCAAGGGACATTACCTACAGACACCCAGATTAATCCAAAAGATCAGGCCCAAAGCAGCTGATGGTGGTAAGTCTCCGTAATGGCAGGGATCTAGATGTAGAACAAGAGAGAGCTCGAGAAAATGTACAAGCTGAGACATTCATTCCAGTGCCCATTGAGCTGGATGAGTCTACGATACTGACAGAGGTGACAATCTAGCCTGCTCAGGAAGAAAAGAACATTCAGCAGGAGACCGAGAAAGTAGCTGAGCCAGTTGAAGAGCCAGTAGTTGAAATAGTAGCTGATAAAGAGAAGTCCCAAGTGATTGGGAAGAAGAGACCTCCTGCACCCTTTC